ACATTGGCTTTTGAGACCGTAACACTTATGAAAAAACTTTATAGATCATGATACTGGATATTTAAAGTTATTCCGAAAAACTACCCCGTATGTTTGAACTTTGACTCCCTTCAAAGTTATTGCCCCTTACGCATGAAATGATTGTTATCGCTACTCCTCCGAAACCGTAAACCGCAGAGGTTCCAAACCTTTACTAATGTGTGCAACTAATTTAGTAGATTTTTCAATCAAATATTGCGAAAGCATTCGTAAACTCCTAAAATGAATATTGCCCCTGAATGTTTGCAATGTTTACGAATATCAAAATACTTTCTAAAACGACGAGTCGCAGGGACATGGGGCCATCTGCAAAAAAAAAAAAGTTGACCTTTGACCTTAAAATCTAGGTCAAGGTCAAAGATCAAGGTCATTCAGAATATGAAAAATGAAGCTCTTTTAATTTCATAGCTCTTTTGTTATTCACCAAATTCTTAACGTATTTGCATCTGTAATATGTATTCTTAAAACCATTTTAAGACTTCATTCTTGTGCCGTAAGATTGACCCCTCTAAAAGTTAGTGCCCCTTTCAGTGTAAACCTTTGTTATCGCTACTCCTCCGAAACCGTAAACTGTAGAGGCACAAAACATTCAACAATGCCTGCAACTCATTTAGTACACTTCTCATTTTATTTTTGCAAAAGAATTCGTAAACCATTTCAAGTAGTTATTTCCCCTGACAGTTTATGATGTTTACTAAAAGCTAAAAGAAGTCATAAAGACATGGGGACAATGCATGAGATTTCTTGACCTTTGGCACTGAAGATTAGGTCAAGGTCAAAGTTCAAGATCATTGGGAAAATATTTAAAATTTTTTTTAATATGTTTCTGGTTTTTTTTTATGACATGCATGTTTCAAGTTTGATTTATGTCGATAACTATTAATTCAATCCAAATGGAGATGGTTGTTTAATCTTATCAATGAGTTCACCCTATCTGTCAAAACGAACTCGTCCATGTTTTCATAAATTGTAAAGAAAGTGTTCACACGGAAGTTCGAGTGTATCATAAGCTCTGTATGATTAACTCAATTTATTCAAACTATCAACAAACTCAAATGAATTTTTTTACACGAAATCTCATTTTTCATTATCCACCAATCGTTTTTCTCAGAACTATTAATTATTCCTTTCCACATTCCATCACAAACATATAAGTACAAGTGTTTCTGTTCTAGTATTTAAAAACGCACGTATAAATCCATGTTCTCAACCCTCGCCTGTCAATCTGAAGGTCCCGAGTTCCAATCTAGCTTGGGACACATTTGAAATTTTTGGCATTTTTCTTCTTTTTTTCAACCCAAATGACACGGAAAGTCTTGAAAAGGTGGAAAGACATCTTATTGTTCAGTGAACAATTAGTCTACTAGTTCTTATTGTTATTATTGGTTTACACAGAAGTAACATGAAAAAATAAATACAAAATAAAACTTTGTTGGTAGAATTATTACTATTAATTCAGTCATTAACCAGAATTAAGACTTTCTGTTAAATATAAAACTCAAGAGCAAAAAGGACAGTGTTAAACTGCGTCGTACAGATATGTACTGAACTAGGCACTGTGAAATACTGTGATGTACTGAAATGTACTGTAGACCTATATGTGTACAGGTAATATTAGTAATGTATTTTGAAGTACAGTTATCTGTACAGAAAAAAAATCTATGACAGTGGAAAACAGTGACAGCGTACTAGGAAGTATTGTAAAGTACTGTGATGTACAGAGGAAACGTACTGTGAAGTACAGGGAGGTGCTTGGAAATGCAGTGCCTCTGTACAGTGATGTACTGTAATGTATATGTATGAAGTACAGAGGCAAGTGCAGTGATTTACAGTGAAGGTACAGGGTCTATCAGAGATTTTCAGAGAACAATCAGAATATCGGGGAATATCAAGTTCAGCAGTGATAGATAATTTACCTTAATTTGACCCATTTACATCATCTTTCATTTACATTTCCGTCAGTTTTCAGTGACATTTCCGTCGACATTGTCAATCAGTTCAAAATGATTTGAATTTTTAAATTAGATTTAGAAACAACTACCTTCAAATGATAAAAAAGTAATGATCCGATATTGGAAATCAAAACTTTGTCCATTTTTTTTCTTTCTGTTTATCTCTAAATTGACGATAAATATTCAGTTTAATAAGCTATTGAATATAAGAAATGAGTCAATCTGAAAAAAAAAAGGTTTCAGTTAAAATGCCCTCAATATAAATAAGAAAAAAAAGCTATCGTATTTAAAAAAGAAAGAAGGCACAGATGAAGGCTAGGCCAAAATGGATATGTTTATTTGCATAACAGTCAAATTTGCATTTCTTGATAAATTTAAATATCAGTATAATAGTCTAACCCGACTGAGCAGTTATAATCTATTTTATGCAAAGAAGCAATAATAAAAATTATTTTTGTGCATATTTATTTGGACTTATATTCAGAGCCCATTTAGTGTTATTTTTGTGGATTTTGAAAGGTTATTTTCAAAATATTCTCTCATTTCTTCGTCTGAAACTTTTTCTAAATCGAGATGTGGAATCATTAGGACATAGGTTATTTTTCTCACTTTCTTCTTCGTTGAACCAACGTTTTCTTTCCTTAGTGTTGCCAGTAAAGAAATTGCCATGTCAATTTTTGAACTTTCAATAATTTCATCGAATTCTACATCACACAGAAAATCAATATTATTTTGGCTTATTTCAGGAAATGTATCAATAAAAGCGGTATGCTCAAGTCACCCGTTTCATCCATAGCTGCGGTGTTGATCAAAGCAGACGTTTCTTTTGGGTCAGTGTGACGTAGAAAGTGTTAAATTATTGATCAAAGCTCACAATAGCTATACAAATGATTATTTTATTTAAGAAAAGAAAAAAAAAGATTGTATTGTGATTTATTTGCGTAAAAATTATGTATTGAATGTCCTTTGAAGATTTATTTATAATGTTATGCAATTCCCCTTTGGAAAGAAGTGCCCGGCCCGGGAATATTTATTCCTTCGCACCTTTGCAATGCATGCATTTTAGAGTGGATTTTTCTGTGCATTCATATTTCTACGCGTGATTAAACACAAAAATTAACTGCAATTCAAATTCACAGTTGGGTTAGTAGAAAAACACAACGGATATAAATATTTACTTATGTAATAGGTTAAGTTTTTTCTAGAAATTTGTTTAGGATGTATTTATCTAGTATACAAAAATATTAGAAAAAATAACTGTAATGTATATGAGCTGTGAGCATTAATATTAAAATCTGAGAACTGTGTGTCTAATGCTCATTTGTCCCTCTGATTTAAGGTGTTCCAGCACATCGATTAAATGACAATACATTGTAACTCTGCTTAGGAATCATCAATTTCAATGTATGCACAAAAGACCAGAATACCAAATTTCAGCAAAGTCAGGCAATGTGTGTGTCCTTATAAGGTTACAGGCTACAAATTTTTCCCTTATTTCATTGCCAATACAAGTAGTTCCAGTTTTAAAATCAAAGTACTTGAAAGTACTGGGAAGCGATAAGCATATTTGATTTGAAATTCATCAAAATTATTTTCAATTTAAATTTCCTGTTAAATTGAAATTTAAGCAATATGTTGACAGTGCGACAGCGCTAGGGCAAGTACAGTTGTTTGGTACATAATCAAATATCTTAGTCCTGAAAACTTATTGTTGGAATATGAAATTCAACATTGTCTTATGCCTTTTTATTTGAAGCATTTTTCATTTTCTTCTGTCAAAAAATCAAAAATCTCGTGTAGAAATATGTTCTTTCATCAATACGTTGTACGAATCTATTAGAGGTAGTATTTGCGTATAAATTGCTTTTTATTGGAAGGCCAATGAAACTTTGAGTATTTTAAATAACAAATTCATTCCACCTTTACAAGTGATTGACATCATTTTTGTAACATCGTCATGTGACAAAACTCTATGTAGATGAAATGAACATCCCTAGAATTAACGCCCTTTTTGTCAGATACACTTTTTAATAGGTAAATAAACATTTGATTTTAAAACTATTATCTTCATCTTTCGATGCTATTCTTTAATCTCTGATTTTCAAATACATAATTTATGGCGTATTTGCAGTAACATTCATGTTGGTATCAAATATGTTTTACTCTTTTCATTTGTAAATATTTTTTTTACAGTAAAATTTTTAACATGTACACTTTTCTTCTTTGGAATAAAAAAAATTAATTTAACCACCAAAGCATTTTTGACTATTGTTAAAATAATTTTAATGGTTCCATATTTTTACGGACGCTTGATGCTTTGCACTATTCTTTACTTGTGTATGTATGATCTTCACTACCATGCAAACCATGATGAGAGGGAAAAAATATCTACGGCATTGTTGTGCTAGTTGAAAAGGAATACTGAAAATATTTGCTTGAATTATTTTCTGCTATTTCAATGATAACTTATTCAATGGACCAAGAAGGAAAATATATGCAAGTATTAATCTCAAGTACATATAATAATTTTATAAATCTTCAGGAAGATATAAAACATTGTTTTATTCTGTTTTTATTTAGTCTTCATAAAGAATCGGCAATACAGCTGAGGCACATTTTTACATATACAATTTCTTCATTATAGTTCTTACTTCATACATTAAATGTTTGCTTAACATTACATTAGCCCTATTCCTGTCAATTGCTAAAAACGTTAATTAAAGTTTTAGCATTTTTCGCCATATCCTGCACACTACACACACGATATTAAAACATATTATTCCGAAAAATAAGTTTTACTATTTGAATGGATTCGTTGAAAACACAACCACCACATGCCCTAAATGTCTTAACAGCCACAAAAACTGCTCTCCTTTCGAATTATTGACATAATAAGTTTTACTCATATGATACAAGTATAGAGTACAACACAAGTAACGACATTAAAAAGACAGTCCATGAATGCATTGCAATCTGTTACTAATTGATATTTAGATGCAAAAATCAACTTCACTGGTAGCTCTCAGCATGGTGCAAGGTGGATGCCTGAAGTAAGGGTCTACAAGAAAAACATAATAGTTTATATGGATATAAATGTAAGTTAAGATAAACGCCATTATGTAAGTAGAACATTGTTAATCGATTTAGTTTTATTTAATACTGAATACTAGTAACTCACTGCCAGTTTGAGATTTTTAAAACTTAATCATTATAACCCCATCTGAGTTTTAAATTATGTACTTATTCAATCACTATATGACATTTACATGATAAGAAATATATTGCTTTTAATTTAGTATTTGTGCAAAAGATGCAGCAATTATTATGATAACAACTGCTTTTATCTTCTAACTGTGGAATATGCCTTTACCTTGCTAATTGCTTCCTATTATCAGAAATACGCGTAACGTAGCAGTACACTAAAATAGCAAGAACAGAGTCAGGGATTTCCAGTTGCATATTTTTAGAATAACAAGAGGAGTTATCTAACTTGCTTATAGTGGCGCTGGTTTCAGAACGGAAGTAGACTTACGCTGACAGAAAGCACTTTGCGCTGCGCTTAAAAAGAATATTTTCCTTAATCCTTTAACCCCCAGAGACGCATTTGGACGCACTTTCGCCATCACAGATATTAAACTGTTGGCGTTTTGTAAATAATTGAGATACATCAAAACAATTGATATTTTCTTAAACTAGAGAAGAATCTTAACATTTTTGCTGTATAAAAGTTTTCTATGTGATGCTAAAAAATTATCGTAAACTTGAAGTGAACATTGAATATCCTACCTGGAAGTTGAAAAACAAAACGCATAGATGAGTAATTTCCGACTATCTACTGTTGGCTTTATCTTATTTAGAACACAAAATAAAATAAAAATAAATGCCATAACCCGAAAGCTGGGAACTTTTCCTAAATTTCATGATAAACGTTATAACGTACATAACGTCTCCATATGAGTGAAAAATTCTCAAGAGGGACGTTAAACAATATACAATCAATCAATATAACGTACATGCATAAATTACAGAGATATTTCTTGTTTAAAGTTGGATCTTTTACAAGTAAAACACACAAAATGCAAGTTGACATTTTACATCTACAATGAAATTGTTTATGAACGCAGTATAAAACAAACTGATGCTTTTGATACTTGGAACATATTTATCTTTTAATGACTTATTTGTGAAGAAAACTTAATTTTCGACATGATCTGAGCTATAAACATAAAAAAAATTTCAATAGCTTTGGGAGAGAAATATGTAAAAATATTGAGTCAAATGCTAAATGTAAGTCGTCCATTATTTATACACTGAATTGACGACGGATTTTCTGTGAATTCCCAATCAAGACAAGGAGCACAGAGCGGGTGTGACCGGTCAGCAGGGGATGCTCACTCCTCCATGGCACCTGATCCCACCTCTGATGTTTCCTAGGTCCTTGTGTGTTCTGTTCCGGTTTTGTATTGTTTAAAGGTCTTTGATATTCAGAACTGTTCCTTATCTCCATATTCTTCTCATGTACATGTACATGTAGTAAAAGTCATAGGTTAGCGCCCCGATTGCGTGCACCCTTTGTTTCAGAAATCCCTGTCGAATATGTGCCATTCCTACATGTTCTTAGGAACAATTAATCAAATAATTCAATATTATCGTTACCATTTTACATATCATTTAAAGTGAGAAAACTAACTAAGCAAATTTACTCCTGGTCTCTCGAACTTCTATCTCTCGAAGTTCTCTATCTCTCGAACCAAAACCTGGGTCCCGTTACACATATTTCCTTTCATCAACATTTTAAGTTTGTTTTTTTAGTGTTAATATTTTAAAACAACGTACAGTGTACTTTGAAAAGAGAACTGGTTTTTGTGAAGGTGACAGGTTATACACATGTAACTCAATTAGCTTTTATTTTTTCATAAAACAATTGAAATATATCAAAAGCATCCATAATTATATTGAAATCTGGAGGAATACTAGCAAGTTTTATTTTTTTTCTTGTTGATGAGGAACATATTTTATTTACCTACCCAAATTACATGGAATTGAGGGGATAATAAAATCAGGCTACTTCCGTTAGAATTATTTCTTTTTCTGTAACCATAGTAGTTATGTACACAGAGGGGAAAAACTTGAACGTACATGTAAGATCGAGAAGCGATTCAGATTCAGACATTTCTACTGCGACTTTGAATACAAGAATAGGTGAAAATCTATGCTTCTTATCTATTATAAATATATTTATAGATATACACAATGTACTTGATTGCTAGCTATATAGTGTGTTTATATGTTACATATGAGCTACATGTATGTAGGCCTAAACATACTTAGTATGCGTTCGTCGTGAAACTTAAAGTGCTATCTGTGATTTATCATCAATTTCTCAAGCCATGGTCTTTAGTCCACTTTTTGCCTCCAGACTAGAAGTTGATCTCATTTTTACATTTAGGATGTGGTTAGATAGTTTTGCACTAGAAAAAGGGAAGTGTGTGTATCCTGAGCAACATTTTTGAAGTGTATGTATTTTTACCGCGGATAAGCTTAAATTTTACACTTTTTTTTCCAATTTCCTGGGGATGGGGGGTAGTTTACAGTTTGAATGACATAACATCTTAGTCTATAATATACTTAATATTTTTCTAAACCCTTCTAGCGATAATGAATTGTTATTCAAAAAATTCATTCCAAAGCTTTTGTCGATTCATAAGGGGAGGGGCGTTTCTTTGCAGATATTATTTTACATTACTTAAACATATGGAGAAATGAAGGATCATCCACCCATATCCATAAGTATTTTGAAATCTGATTACTGTTTTATAGTCTGGTGACGTTTTAACAGATAAAGATCTCTAGCCCCCTTATAAAAAGATTTGACAATTCGACACCGAATTAATACATAAATTCCATTACTGGTGAAGACATGTTTGCACTAAAAAAAAATTTCATTTTTATTGAACTATGAGGGTGTTAAATCGAATCGAAAGGCAGTGTGCGTATTCTTTTCCATGGCCCTATGGCCGTCTTATAAAACTTATTGATGAACTAGTGTTATTGTATGTTCGAGTACATAATTGTTACAGATCGTTGGAAATGGGAATTATCGGATTCAGTTTGCTAGAATCTGCAGGCAAGGAATTTTATTCTATGATAAAACGCTAGTAAATGGGGGGTGGGGTTGATATCAAAATCGACTAGTCATTACACATGTAAATGTAAATCAAAAACATGTGGCACCGTTTAGAGTACCTATTGTTCCATGATAGGGAGGTCTTGGGTTCGAATCCCGGCCGCGACTTACCAAAATCGATAAAAGTGGTAGCAACTGTTTCTTCGCCATATGTGCTTGGCACTTGAAGTGAAAATGCTGGTTCTTCGGATAAATAGAAATGAATCGAAAATAAGAAGAACTCTTGCAAAATTTAAGGGTTGAATAGTGGTCTTTATGCATGATAGCATGACACCTTACCCAATACCTGTCGGCGTCTTGATGAAAAGTGAATAAATTGAAATTAAGAAATTTGTAGAAATCGAATTAGTAAACATAAATCATCTCTTGCATCGAGAAGCATTGCTGTATGTTTATGTCTAATATGCATTTTTAGATATTCTATGTTAATGTTATTTATATTGAAAACAAGGTATACATGTATTCAAATCCTTCAGTTATATAATAAATGTTTACAAACATTATATACTAAAACAATTTTAAAAATTTGTTCTTCGTTCTGAATCACTGAACAAAAATATTCCCAAGAAGAAGGTATGGTTTCCATACATATTTTGCCCTGTGATTTTCTAAAAATGAAACTGGTGTAAAAGTTGAAAACTCATGCTTTTTAAATAATTGAAATGCAATGCAGAGAAATCATACAAGTCATTTTTCTCATATGTGTTTTAAATACTAATTATGACGTCATAAACATGTGCATTTTTCCGTATTTCTTAAAAAGTTGCAGAAGACACCAATTTTCAATGGAATTTTCTTTCAGATAAGATTGTCCACAGGCATCGCCCACAAAGATCTTGAGATATGTGATTTGTTATTGAATTTTGCACAAAATATAAAAAAAATTAACGTGGGCGACGGCTGTGGACACTGTTTTCTAAAGGAAAATCACCCTTGAAATGTGCCACTTTGAGGCTTTTTCCTTTAATGACGTCATATTTGCAGAATGGTAAACCTTCATGCCATATTCTTTACCGATTTATCAGAGTCATTTATTTAACTAATATTTAAGCCAGTTTCAAAACTTTTTTATGTCATTACATTTTTAGGGCGCAATAAAGCTAAAACCATACCTTCTTCTTTAGACTATTCTTGGACACTTTGAACACTTCACAATTGTACTAATTTAAAGACACTAGGTTTTTTAACACACTATTGTTTGAAATATTGAATTTTGAGATCTTGATATACAGGACATTTTAATATAAAATGGAATTCATCTTCTGCAATCTTCAAGTCACCTAATAAATTTTAAACATTTTCTGTTATTTCTTTTTTCATTAACATATCTACCTTCTTCAACCCGTAACTTATGACTAGACAATCTAAATAATGTGAACATTTTTATGCATGTTTAATAGGTTTTGATAAATAATTCTGTGAACAAAAATGGTCTATAATATTTTTATACAACTTTCCCTTAATAGCTATCTTAAGAGTATGGATGGTTTTTTGACTATACACATCAAAGGATCTTTAATTAATCAAAACAGGTTACTTAAAAGTATCAAAGATTTGGAACAAGAGATAACGTAAACCAGACTTATGAAATTCAGTCTTAATTTCAGTAATTTTTACAACATGCTATTAAGGATGGATTCTTCCCATATTTCTTATAATTGCAGAATCTTGATTTTCTGAATACTCATTATTCAGACTGTGTTTACTTTTTTAACATCGAAAAACTTTGGTGAAATCGGCCTTGATTTTCAGTCAAGGTCATTTGAAAGTCAGTCCTAAAAATAGTACTTTTACACAGGAAAGTATTGAAATTTTGGCATAGGAATAAATTTTGGTGTCAGAAAAAATACCTTGCTTACTAAAATTAAAGTTTTAACTCATTATTGATCACTAACTTACATGAATTGAGTTAATGGAAAGAAAACATGAAATCATCGATATTCAACAAATATACTTAATCCGAATTTCCTCGAATTTTCTAAAAAAATTCTGATTTTTCATGAATTCACATTAAATTTCATCTCAATTTTTACAATTGAGCATATAATGTCAAATATTTACATTTCTCACTGTTGATTCATCAAATGTTTAAGATTAATTTACAAGGTAAAAATGATAAGGTAATCGGACTAATTATTGAAAAAAATTAACCCGAATTTTCTCTAAATTTTCTTAAAAATCATAAATGTATGAATTATTTTATAATATCTTCCTAAAAAAAATAACCACATAAAGATAACAAATCAGGGATATAAATGAAGACACCTACCTTTATTTATTATACTTATATAAATAAATATTTATTTCACAGGTATTTCACACAACTGACATCTAAATTCCGAATTTCCTCTGTCATATAATTTATGATTATAGTGCTAATCATATGGGAAAAATCTTTCATGTCGAAATTTTAGGAAATTTTTCATACAATTTATTCATTGAAAAATTTAGTTTATTCAAAGGAACTTAATTTACATTAAACAGTTAAATATTAAGGAATAATTAATAGCTAGATTTGATAAACCTTTAATACTTATTAGAAAAATCATAACTTAAATAAATAGTCTTAGTGTACAAAATTAATGTACTGGTCCTTGAAATGTACTGAAACCTTGAGAAAAAATCAAGAATGGAATCGACAGCAGCAGTGAGTTTGAGAGCATTAACTTCAACATTTCTACAATACATTTTTCCTGCTAAAAATGTAATTCCGGTGACTTCTGCAGCTTTCTGTGTGATAGGAACCTCTGGCGTGACATATTCTGAGAACACTTCCTCTTCAAACACAGCTGCCATATGTGTGATATGAGAGGTCCTTGCTAAAAATGAAGAAACTTAAACTGTTCATAATATTCACAAATGTTCATGTTCTTCTCCAATTTATTAACATAAGCATTAGTTTCAGTAATGCTGAAGGGAAAAAATGTTTCTATGATGTTTTTTTAAAATATTAAACACAATTTAAAAATCACATACCCAGTCCTGTTGATTCAAGGTAAAAAAAGATCAAAGGATTCTCTTTAGAAATCTGTAGAGGCTGTTTGAGGGGCTGGGTAACAGGAGCTGGAATGGTTTCAGTGTCATTCCCAGTATGCAAACCAATACCGCAAGAGTAAGTTGGCCCCTCTCTTGTTTCTTTGCAGGCTATCACTTGTTTCCTTAAATTTTGTAAAAATAAAATCTTATGTATTAACTTTCAAGAGAAATGTAAAATTTTCATACATATTTAAAGTATATTGTATCAACCTAGTCACCTTTCTGCCTTGAGAAATAATCTCCTCCTTTTTGCCTTCGTAGTTAGTGGCAATGCCTTTTTACGACCAGCAGACTTGTCCTTTTTTGCAGTCAATTTTTTGGTGTGTCCGCCTGGTGATAATCCCATTTTTTTGTTGACCTAAATTTAAAAAAAAAATCCACATAGAACATATACCCAGTATTGCATTACATGAAAGCTAAATTTCACAGATGCACGATGATTCATAATAGAGTGATCAAAATAAGGCAACACAGCCAAAAACAGTTACAGAAAGTAAGAATGACTACATTTAGCAAATTACCCTGTGTTCCAGAGGATCAAATGAGTGATCAAATCTATTACTGTGCTTTCATCAATTTTTGTTTGCTTCAATTTTCGTGGATTTTGTATATCAGACATTTTCGAGAATACAACTGAATAATTTTTTAATTCAATGAACATTTAATTTCATGATTCTGCTCAACAACAAGATTCTCGAAAATTGATGCTCAACGAATATTGATGAAACCACAGTAATCAATAGGATGAAATTTAAATATATTTAAGTTATAAATTGTACCTCAATCAAATACCGTTGCCCTAGGTTTTTCTGTGCTACACTACCTGCAACTCTGTAGCCTATAGTACGACTGAAGAGGTGGGATTTAGATGCCTTGGAAGCTACTGTCTTGTTGAAGTTTTCATTTGCTTGGGTGCTTCCAAGATTGGCAAGGTTGGTGCTATGTTTCTTTAGTCTGTTGAAAATGCTTAAAAGATCTTGCTTTAGGTTCTCACTCTCTAAAGGCCGTCCATAGGGTAGTAAACTGTATTTCTTTGTTGTATTTCTTTTGTGGTGGCACCACATTTCACTACACTGGCTGTGGTCGTTGAATGGGTGAAGAGCCAGAGCATCAAGGCCTTTCTCTATCCCGGTGGGATTCCCCTGGTTTTGAGAGATCATATAGTTGAAAGACTTCTGAATGTATTTTATCACTTTTGATGAAAAACTGTTGTGTTTCTTTTGCAGCGCATAGAGTGAATTGGATACATTTTTTTTAATATGATTTTTGTCGGAGTGCTTTTTGATGCTTGGGTCTATTTCTTTATGAATTCTTGACATTGTGGTTGTGTCGTCATCCCCAACTAGTGCCTCTACTTGAATCCCTTTCTTCAATGTTGATTTAACCAATTCCACCACCATGTCAGATTCCATGGACTTGGAGCTACCTGTAAAAATTGCATGGACTATTATTAATCATTGAATTCCAAAGGAAGCTCTTCTTTTAAAATACACATATCATTTTATTACAGAGTTATTCTGTCAGATCATACTCCATATGGGACAAGCTTAAACTAGAGGTACTGTGAGCAATGAGCTCACTAAATGACACTCCTTGCCTCCCGTATGTATAAAATAGCAGTGTCTATGTTTTGCTATGGTAAACCCAAAATATGTGTCCAATCAAAAAGTAAAATAAAAGGTGTACAATGCCAATATGTAATATATATTCTGTGAAAGTTTCATTAAATTTCACTCCATGGTATAAGAGGAGTTGTGAATAAAAGATTGGTACCCAAAAGCGTAACAGACAGATGGACGGACGCTCAGGTGAGCTAATAACAGAGAGTGCTAATTTCAAGCATCTGCGATGAGTAGTTTCAGAGAAAACTGATACAAAAATTTGCTATAGCTAAACACACTGACAGAAACACAAGGATAAAACAGTATATCCCCCTCTCATTAGAAGCAGGGGTTTAAAAATGTTCTAAGAAAGGGCTGATTTTAAAGTAGAAATATCAAAATTATTGGTGCAAAAAAATACTGAGATCAATATTAAATCTGAGGAATTATAATTACCTGTCCAATTCCTTTTGCATTCATGTGGAACTGGGGCTCGGTTGTTTTTTTCTGCTCGTTCACAAATTCTACATGATTTGTTCCTAAAGCTATAACCCACAATTTTTCCCGTCTGGCTTCCTATCATTGAGCAGTGTCCTGTAACATAACATAAAAAACATGAGAGAATGTAGCTAGTAATCAAGCATATAAAAGATCTTTGTGACACAACTTTGAGAATAAAATTATGTTTAATGACGGTAAATCAAATATGTTTCACTTTAAAAAATACATCCATACTGGTAATTATTATTCTTTAAAGATGGTGCTTTTTCTTACTCTCTTTTTGCCCCCCCCCCCCCAGTAACTCTCTCTACACTCTACATCTATAGGTATAAAAATAAATTACCAGTAAGGCTGTCATATGACCTCCCACTTCCTCGCTTTTGCCATGCCCCATCTACACTCACAGTAATGGAGGAAGATTGATTGCTCCTTAAAAATTAAATAATTATTAATTAATTAATATATTTTAGACAAGAGGTAGGCTCATAGGCTATGATTCACAAGAGTACTTGCAAGCAAGAAAAAATCAGAAATTAATACCATAGTGAATGCTATCATTGGTTTTTAAAAACATTTGAACATATACATGTACAAAATTAAAATTATTGAAGTTCTTGCAGCGTGAAATTAAAACAATTGGCGATTGGTATTTTTTCAACATATTGTGATTCACTATTCATTATTAATACATGTTTAATTAATCCAAATACATATAATGTTTTTCACTGCACAGCATTTTTTACCAAAATTTACTTGATTAGTACATGTACTTACATAGATGTTGTTAGGACTTCCTGTTCAAGAGCTTCCTGAATTGTTTCTGTTGCAACTGACTCTGTGGCAGATCCAACCTCTTCCTGCCTGCTACTCAGTAATGTTCGACTGACAGGTGGGACATTTAATTCAGCAAGTATTCCACTGATCTGTTCATAACCAATACCAGTATGTTGGACAGCTGCAGAGGAATTTCAAATAAATGCGTAGAAATAAATATAGGTCAACAGGAATTCACAAACGTAGAATATTTATCAATGTTATAACAAATCACCTGCAGCTAGCTTGCTGTTAGCATCCCAGACTATATTGTGTCTCTTTCCAGTAGGCACATTGTTAACATATTGGCATTGGGTATTCATGCATGGTATCTTGAGCATAGCTGCAAGACCAAAGGTTATAATTCCTGTGCAATGAGACAGTTGGAGGGGTAGACCACACTTTTTACACCCGGACAGTCCATCTGCCAGCACTCCTAATTCAATAACTCTACGTCCTGCCCTCCAGTCCTTGTCCAGTCTAGGCTTGTTTCTTTCCTAGGAACAAATCTCTTACATTTAAAACATGTATGTTAAACATAGATATCTACATTCTCCTTTTTTATTTATTAATTCATATGTAAATTAAAAATTTGAGTAAAAAATGTCAAATCTTGTCTGTTTTTATTGATTTATTCTTGTAAACCTTTTTTTCTAAATTCTAGATAACACTTAAAATAAATTAAATGGAATTGTCAGGGAACATATACATATTGTTTTTCTTTATTTGTTACTGTGATTTATCTCTTTTTGTGATTCAATACTGCTGAGTCCATTTATTGAGTCAAATATTACAATGTTGAATTTACTTTTTTTTTTCCACATTCCGTTTGATTTTGCACCCTTACAAGGTACCTTACTTTTTTCCAAACACACAATAAAACAGCTAAAGACTGATGAACAATCTGAATATTGTAGTCTCAAATGATTTATTTAAAAAAAAAAAGGAATTGTATTATTCATAATTTATATCATTAGTATCCACAAACTGATCGTTGCTGAACTTGTGTTATGTAGGCCCTATATACACTGAATTAAACTGATCGCGGGAATAAGCAGACGATGGTACAGTATTAAAACATTTTTATTTGCATGCGAAGTAGGCCTTGTGTAGAAATATAAAGACATAGTCGATTTCAAAATGATAAAAAGTATCAGACATAACTTACATGCTCACTGCATACATCAAACGAAGCGACGTCAGGTAAAGGTACACCGTCACCCGCACTGCAGACCACAGACGGCCTATCGCAGGGGTTTTCATTTGGTTTATCGCTACGGGAACATTCATTCTGTGAATAATTATGATGCAGAATCACATATTCTTTTTGCCACCGCTGTCTCTGTGCTTCTGTGACTCTTTCATACTGCTTATACTTGGTAGACTTTGCGAAACGACCCTTTTTACGGGGTTGCTCCATAGTTGACAGCGATGTTTACCATTGCGACCGGTTGTCGCAATACAGAGAAAATAGATGAAATATTTATTTATGTGATTTAAAAAAATCTTATATTTTGCTTAAAAATAAAAATATCTCAAGTATTTCATCTGATGGGAACAAATAAGAAATTTACATTTTACGACATGCATAATGTATGGAGACCCATTGACGACGTAAAATGCTGACAAGAATCCATCCTTAATATGCAGTTGTTTGTATTTTTAAGTTAATGCAAATATTTCAAAATTTGAAATTTCCTTGAAAGATACAAAGGTAATCTATCTAATCATAATACACCATGCTCAGATAAAGAATTTCATACTCAAGACTTTCTTACAAAAGTTACTATGAATTTTTTCAACAATAGAAATAGGGAAGCGAAAGGTCACTGAAATATAACTAAACTGTCTCCGCGGATTAGTGACTGAAAGTTAAAATAAAATTGTGGCTGAAAAGTTTTTAAAAGAAAACTGAAAAATATTCGCCATAAGGTGATTGAATAGCCACTGAAACGTCACTGAATCTGCCTTTCTGTTTTGACTGATACTTTCTGTGCGACTTCCCTCTAAGGATAAGGTTCAATCTCGAGCAAGACTTCCGGGTAACGTCCCATATTGGGAGAAGTTTTCCTCTAAATGACACTTATACCGTGTATTATATATTATCATACCCCATAATAAATATTCTACACAACACGATATCTGATCGGTTCTAGGTTATCACGTGGTCGGGCCGTAAAACTTCATATTTCAAGGCCGTCGGACTGCTTTTCATCATATTCCACCACTTCGGATACTTAGTGCCTTTTCCCGCAATAATTATCGTTCGTTAAAAGAAAACTCCCCAGAGTAGTAGACGAGAGTAATAGACGTCACAATAGCATGCTTTACGTCATTAAATTGATGATAAAGTGTTGGCCAAAAAGTTTAGTATCGTAACGTTAAAAATGAAAGTGAATTTGAGAGCGGTGCCGAATTTGAAAGTTTATGTTTATTTCAAAGGTTTTGCTTGTTTCGGTATACTGATCAGTCATTGTTCGCCCTCGAGGAATATGATTTTTCTTGGCTGAATAAGTCTTCATATTTCCCTCACTATCATGCAACAAATGTATATTTCGTTAAAAAATAATTTTCTCCAAAGGATTTATATATTTACTTTATTTTACTTTTATTTGATGTGGTGTGACAATTTCATAAATGATATCAAGATGAATCCTTAAAAATAGCAAGTACACTTGATTTTGTAACATTGAGCAAAGTACTGTGCAATAAAACTCCAGCTAGTTGACCTCAAATTATTTATTAAAGATACTATAATTGAATAGTTTTTGGCAAATTGTAACATTTATTATTACTTGTATTAGAAATTGGATCCAGAAATATCCACGGAAATGTCAAAATATTTTAACTCCTTGTTTATTTGATCAAGCTGTGTTTTAGCACGTTCTATCATTGTCTCTAATAATGGATCATCTTCTGGGGCGTCCTCTTTTTTTCTCACCGATAAACTACATTCCTTTCTAAGTCGACCCATAGCACAGTTAAGTCCTTTCAGCTTTTCCAAAATACAACACACTTCTCCTTCATTACCATTAATACTTTTATAAATTGTATAGATTTGTTTCTGCATGCACTCAATTGAATTTTTCAAAACGTCTGCTCTTTGTGACAACTGGAATATTAAATAGACAAAATTGTTTGAAAAAAAAAGGTTAGAACACAAATAATCTTTGTTCTTAATCTAATGTATCAAATATTTCTCAGGTAGGCAAACTCCCCGAAAATAAATTTATCAAATCATTGTTAGAATTGAATCGTTTTACATGTTTTAACTATTATAAAGAAATGCAAAATTTTCATATTTTGTTTATAATAAAATATTTACATTCAGTGTAATTTTCTTTATGAAATCCATTAGAAATTCATGACGTTGAAATCTTTATATAACACGCGAAACCTCGTCACCGCGCGTTAGAATACACAATAGGAACTATATACATTTTCTATATTTTATGATCACTAAAATGTACATTGTTTGACACAATTTAATTTTAAAAAATTAACCCTGTTAATTTATTGTAAAAATGCAACAAATGTGCAATTAATAGAAATTTGTTACTTTTTCCCCTCGCAATGTTCGTTTGCGTAATTTAACTTTACGACGTCACAAACGGCTCTTACGTCTTTTAAGCACACCAGTTTTGAAGGGCGCTAAATTCACATTCAAGATTACCGAAATAAACAATTATGAGGAGGAAAAATTAAAGAATGTAAATATAAGTATTGAATTAACGCGCGGTATTCAATTTGTCGGCACGGCCAGGTGTGTTATAGGACCGAAGACATCCCAAAATATGAATTCAATGTTTAGATAGTGCAACGCATATAATTTCGCAAAATATCCGATGTCTTCGATGCACTCCATATATGTAGTGGTATATAAGTCCAATTTTATGAATAAAATAGTATCAATTACAGTCCCTGAAACGCTCTACTTTCCCACCTGAACGGTGAACGAACGGTGAACGAACGCAGAGCGAACGGTGAGTGAACGATGTGTGAAAGCTGAACACATATTGGTGAACGATGTGTGAACGGTGAACGATAAGTGAACGCAGAACGCGAGCGCAAAGTGAAGGGTGAATGAACGGTGAACGCAAGATGAACGATTTATTCGGAATGCCTCCGATCTTTTCCTTGCATTGAAATTATTCTAGTATTCTATAATTCTAATTTCAGGTGCTAAAATATAAATAAACGATAGATAAATAAATACAGTGCTGCTATCCCACAAATTGACATGGGGTGGGATCGGATAGGATTCAGGATTGAGGATTTACGATAGAAACATAAAGAAGTTAATCCAATCCAATCCTATCCTATCCTATCCTATCCTATCCTATCCTATCCTGTCCTGTATCCTACAGCCAATCAGATTCTAGCAAAAGTTCATTCATATTCCAGAGTAAATTAGAAAAACGAAACACAATATAAAATGTTTACAAAAGAAATATTTATAAAATTTCAATGGGAAATAAAACATTATTTTCTCTAAACACAGATTTACATTTTAAACTTCGAGTAACACGGCGTACGATCTAACGGTGAACGATCACCGGAAGAATTTGGGAATGTAAACAACACTCGGAGTTCCTCGGATGACTCGTACCTCGCACATAACCTCGGACGTCAACGGTGATCTACCATCTTGGTGATTCAATCATGTAATCTTATTTATTTTATTTTTTTCAAATGTCATACATTTGAAATCGAAGTTATTTTGTGGCACAATCAACAGATTCTTCTTACTGTTGAAGCCTACTAACATGAGGTTGTAATGAAAACCTGTTTACGATAAAGAATTGCACAAATTAAGTAACATTTTCGAAGAACGTTATGCAGAGCGAAATATAAAATGGGTGATAAGGCAGTTTCCGGCGGAGAAATATAAGGATCTGATGCGTATTCCTCCACTAATCACATCCGAGGTTTGAATGGAGCGCAGCGGAGTCAGCCGAGGATTGCCGATTGTGTAAACAGCGAAGAGTCCAAGTGTAGACAGAAGGGGGGGGGGGGTAAATATTTACAAATACTCTGTCATATGATTCAATCAGCTATCAATGAGCTCTAAGACTAAAACAATCATATGTATAATGCCTTAATCAGGTTGTTACTCTTATCATTTCCCTAATAAGGTCAGGAAATAGTTTCGTTCATTTCAGTGTAATTTATAAATAAATGTAGAATCACCATGACCATTTCTAATGCTACTGATTAAATGTTTGATAAGCTCACTCAGCAGTGCACTTACATATTGTACGTGTATGTATGATGCATTGTGAGTTATGAAACATAAGTTAATCTTTTAATATTCATCATTACAGAGAATGGATTTTCCTGCACTCACACTTCATCACAGTATAAAGGATTTTAATCTAAAAAGTATGTATGATTTTTTTTATCATGTATTTTTACATGGTCATTAAAAAACATAAACATCATTATTTGAGTTGAGCTGACATGTCTGCAGTTTCTCGGAATAAGCGATTTTCTT